GTTGTGTGTTGTTGTTGTGTTGTTGTGTTGTTGTGTGTTGCGTGTGTTGTTGTGTGTTGTTGTGTGTTGTGGTGTGTTGTTGTGTGTTTTTGTGTGTGTGTGTGTTGTTGTGTGTGGTTGTGTGTGTGTTGTTGTGTGTTGTTGTGTGTTGTTGTGTGTGTTGTGTGTGTTGTGTGTGTTGTGTGTGTGTGTTGTGTGTTTTGTGTGTTGTGCGTTGTGCGTTGTGCGTTGTGCGTTGTGCATTGTGCGTTGTGCGTTGTGCATTGTGCGTTGTGTGTTGGTGTTGTTGTTGTTGTTGTTGTCGTCGTTGTTGTTGTTGCTGTTGCTGTTGGTGTTGTTGTTGTTGGTGTTGGTGTTACCCCTGCAGCGTTTTTGCTCGGTTCCGTAGTGGCCGAAAATCGTCAAATCGGTGGTGTTTTCGCGTGTTTTTGCAACTCTCGGAGCAAAAAACACCGTAAATACCAATGTTTTTGGCGGGTCGGAAGCCCAAAACCACGGTATTTACGATGTTTTTTGCCTCTGGTAGTAAAAAGCACGGTATTTACAGTGTTTTTTGGCCAGCACCTAGCAAAAACACTGGTATTTACGGAGGTTTCACCATGTAGCAAAATGTGGTTTCTTGATCCGAAAAGAACAAAAATACTGTAAATTACAATGTTTTGAGTCTGCTCTTAGGGTGCGTGGGAGGTGTGGAGGGGTGGGGGGGGGGTACTAAAATGACTAGCAATCTCCTGAAGAATCAGGTAACGGGGCTGGCCGCCCTCCCCTTTACTTCGTAAAGTAAAACTCAAGGTAGCCCCTCTGGAGCTACCTTTCGTGATATAATTAATATAATAAGAAATAATTTATTTTATTTATATTTTTTCAAATCTTATAAATATAGATATAAATATATAAATTTTTATTTCAAATATTTTTATCAATTTCAATATTTTGGGATCCAAAATAATTATTAATAATTATAATATAATAAATAATTTTATAAATATATGGTAAATTTTAAATTATTCCCAATTTTTTTCCAAAATTATGTCAAAATTATTCCAATATTATTTTCAATTTTATTTGTCAGAATTATCTAAATTTAAAGCTCCCACACCCGAACCTCCAGATTCCAGAACCTGGAGATAAAATTGATAGAGAAATATATATAGGTCCTACACCCATCACGATAAACCCCCCAACACAATACAAAATACGTCATTTCATCTTTTAAAGCACTCGACTCAAACTATAGTATTTAATTTATAATTTACATACATTTAAATAGAAATTAATTTATAAATTACATACATTTAAATATTCACATGTAGAAATATTTACATGTTACCCGAGAGATTATTAATGTTTCTCAACATTTTATGATGATTCTAAATGCGTGATGCCTCTATTCCCGCGCTTTTCACAGGATAAGTGAAACAATTTCGCAGATCGTTGTATCAACGGCATGTTCGCTGCTTATTTCAATCTATGATAGTTTGAATATCAGATGGTCGAAATATATGATAGCCTCTGGTAAACTGACATTTTTGATGGCTAAATCAACTATTTCTATGCCCATGTTCAGTAGCTATGTTAGTTTACCAGCGGGTAAATCTGTCAGGAAAACTTGTTTGTTGCCTTCACTGATGTTTGTCACCATATTTGTTGGAACCTGCATATGGCTGGTCGAAGTCCTGCTACCCAAACCTGTTCATTCAGCATTTTGGGTGGCAAATGGATGCTCATTCCCCCAAATATGGTAATTAATATACCCTTTGAAAATTAAACATACCCTATTGAAAATCACAATTTTCAATATATAGGTAAATCAACTATTTATATGGCTATTTTCAATAGTTATGTTAGTTTACCAGAGGGTAATATAGGTGTTGATCCAACCCCATCTGTTTTTCATCGTCCTTTTCCCATTCCGCGGCCAACTAACCGTAGATATCCCTAGATACTATGCGTTTCCTGTGGCTGAGTAGGATGTAACCCACATTTCTTGCAACTACTTCACTTCGTGTGATCTCCACCGTGTCACAAACATCTTGACAAAACATATCGACATCTTTTGCAACATCTGTTCCGAACTAGCTTCTGTCACCTATTCTGGCATGTGTTTTGACACTTTCTGACACTCATATTCTGACAAATAGATGCAATGTGGTTGAAACAATAATAAACCATCCCCAAAATCACCGTAAATAGGTGGTATAAACCATTCCCAAATGGGTGGTTTATTGTTGTTTTAACATGTTCCCTCCAACCCCGACGTTGCTCCACACCTCAAGATCATCATCATCATCAGCAGCATCATCATCATCATCAGCAGCATCATCATCATCATCATCATCTTTCTGGCGCTTGATAGGGAATGGGGGAATGATCCAAAGGATCCAATCCATATCCTCAACTTATCTTCATAAAGGGATCAAAATTTGCCACCCCCTCTGACTTATATGTTGATGATAATAAGAACATGAACTTACCTTGTTGAGGGATCAAAATCCGCCACCCCCTCTCACTACTACGTTGACAGGGATCATAACATCAACTTATCTTCATACTGGGATCCAAATTTGCCACCCCCTCTGACTTATATGTTTATGAAAAAGAAGAATATGAACTTATCTTGTTGAGGGATCAAAATCCACCACCCCCTCTGACTACTACGTTGACAGGGATCATAACATCAACTATCTTCCTAAGGGATCAAAAATTGGCACCCCCTCTGACTTATATGTGATGTAATATATGATATATGTGCTATGTACTATTATATACTTCGGCCACTTCTGATTCCGACGCGGAGCAACGTAGGGGTTGCAGCGATGTTTTAACATGTTTTAACCACATTACCTGCATCTTCCAAGTTCTGAACACCTTCAATGATTCAGTCGATGTAGACATAGGCGGTTTGTGGCCTACCTGCTGAGGTCTGGATTTACGTGTCTAAATTGCTTGACGCTTTGTGGGCCTTCCTGGGCATTTTGCGTGTCCAGAATGCCGTTCAGAAGTCTTCAGCGTTTGTGTCCATTATCAATTGTTTGTGCCCAAAAAACATAATCAACCACGAAGTTCACTGAACATGTTCAGCATTTTGAAGGTCCAGGATATACAATCAGATCATCATATGTTCTGACAGTCTCTCTGACATGTATTCTGACAGGTTTTCTGACGTTTATTCTGACAGACTTTCTGACATATTTCATAATTTTCTCACGTTTATCTTCTGACATTTATTCTGATAGCTTCCATGACCGGCGTTCTGACCATTTTCCGCACATCCATTCTGACAGCTTTTCTAACACCTATTCTGACACATACACTGACATATCCAAAAGACACATATTCTGACATACCTTACTGACATTCTGACACTTTGACCTATATATATCATGACGAGTTTCTGACAGGTGCCCATACTAATCCTGCAAAGACCTACCCTCACCTGGCCTGACAGGTGACCTTTGGGCCAGAGGGCCCATGCATGGTTTATCGACATCGATTTACTGCCAAAGTTTCAAAGCTAAGGATCTAAAAATAGAAAAATATAGGGGATATTCTCCGTATCTATTCATATTATCCACTGCAGTATTGTAGACTGGTTGAAAATTCCATGACGCGTCACTTCACAGTCCTCAATCAACTACATAGGTAGGTTAATAGCTGCCTATCATGACCAATCAGCCGTCATTTATCGATAATATCCCCACATGTTTGGTTGAAACTCAACCTTCAATCCCTACCTCATCTGGGCAGATTATAGTAATCATTCATTAATCTGACATCGTAATCTTACTGACTATGATTCCAGTGAGGTCACTATAATTCATCCAGATGCCAATGGCGCAACCAGGGTCAACTGGTCACTGTGGTCCGCTGATCCTCAAAATATGATGCGCTTGGTCACGGGTCTCAGCGAAGTCTCGTTCATCTCCTCGTTTACAAAGTGGCCACGGTCATCGCGAGTCATGCCGAGTCATGAATGGCCGGGAGTCATGCGATCAGGAATATCAGCCACAGAAATTATCCTGGAGATATGGAATAATGGAATAATGGTCATTAATATCTATGGATCCACAAAAATAATGGTCATTCATCATGTTATGAGTTATGAAATAATGATCCATTATTGGGAAGCAGTCTTATGGTCATACTTATGGTCATCCCAGACCTTCAGTGGCACATGGCCTCGTCATATGGAGCATATAGCTCCACTAAATGGGGAGCCCAACGGACCGTGGAGTTTCTCGTGTTTCCTCTTAAACTGTTTACCCTAGGCAAAACTGATATATATATAGATGTGGAAAACCCTAATGGTTTCCCTAACATGATCTGCAAATGGCGGGTTTTCCACATCGAACTGTTAGTTTACGGGAGGGTAACCTCGCATTTTTGAGAGTCAATCATTTCAAAGGTTCGACCCATGGCCATGTAGTGCAACTGTGTGTCTGATACCTCCTTTTTTTGCACGGCGACCCATGGGTGTCTCCAGTTTCTTCAATCTGATAGGTTGCGGACCATCGCACAAGTTTCCTCGTTTGAAACTTGTGCGATGGTCCCAATTTGACGACAGTTTGAGTCATCTTGGCGAAATAACCCTCTGTTGTTGTTGATCAAGTAATTGTGACGGTGTTGGTTTCATGCCCGTGGCGATACCCTGCCAACAAGCTTCAGAAAAATAGCAGGATATCACATATATGAATGTCGATTTCAATGTTTATGTGTTTGCTATAGATGGCTAGGAAAAATCACCCACCATTCTGTGCAAATTATGGACATTCCCAAATCAGAAGTAAACCCTGTGATTTTGCCTGGATTGATGGTTTATTTAAGAATAGACGACACAGGAACGCGACTGTTAATTCTACCACCTATTTAAGGTCTTGTTACAGGTAAATGTTCCCACCAACCAATTCTCTGACCCCAATAATATGCTTATGGTTCAAACATGTTAAGCCCCGATTGCGTTCCTCAAATCACCATATTTTGATGCTGAACCCCCCATATGTTCATGTCGAAATCCTTACTTCTTGGACCTTCTTGGTGAAAACGCCTTTTTTTCATGGTCAACACACGTGAAACACCATGTTTTCTGGTTGGTGGTTTTAACCATCTTGAAAAATATGAGACAATGGGAAGGATTATCGCATATATTATGGAAAATCAAAAATGTTTGAAACCACCAGCCCACCAGCCAGTTTTTTTGTGTGATCTTTGCTAATCAATTCCAGTTGGTTCTTGGCCAAGTTCTCCCCTGGCCTCTAACATCACGCCCCAGAGGTGCTGAACCATCTCATCGGCCAACAAGTTAATGGCGTCGGTCGCATCCTGAGAAGCTCACAGCTTGGCATTGAGTTGAGATGTAGACCCATATGTATATAATTACATTTAATTATAATACATAATATGATATAACTATATGCAAATGATTATGTAAGTATATATAAACATTATACAACATAGACATGTATTTTCATTTACATGTACATATATGTATATATATATATATATCATATAAATAGCTATTAAATGTTTACTGTATATATACAAAGGCTTCCCCTGCCTTGGGCTGCAGCGGCGTCGTGTCACTGC